TGGATTGTCGAGCACAAAATAATCAGAGCCATCAATGAACAGTTCAGATCAGCTACTTTATTGTGTTCTACCTATAATACAGGAATCTCTCCAAATATCTTGAACACTCAACTCTTCTATCATTGTAAAAAAAGATTTTGGCAGTATTCTTCTGGATTTTTTATTTGTCTTCGTTGTTTTATAAACCAGATCCACGTTTGTTACAGCATTAAAATCACCCATTATACATACATATTCATAGTCCAATTCTAATTTTTTCCGGTGTAATCTACAATAAAATTCTTCTTGTTTTTCATCTGCTATCAAAAGTATTTGTTTAAAGTTCATTTTAATTTCCACCATCAGAATCCTGCCATCTTCATCCTCAAAAAAGTAATTTAGGTTCTAATTTTTCTTTGATATACAATGCCACTCCACTTTTGCTTTGTTGTATCAATGATGTAAATAGAACTCCTAACTTTGGATATTGTAATAATTTCAAATGTTGTTTTCTAATATGTATTTCTTGTAGGCATATAATGTCCATCTTCCAGCTATTTAATTTAGATAAAGTTCTGTTTCTTTTTATCGCCACATTCAGTCCATTTACATTTAAAGATATTGCTTTAATTTCTTCTTCCATCTTTTACTTGTTACTAGTTTTTGACTTCATCGCCCTTGTCTCTCTTTGTTCTTTCCTTCTCTTGAGAACTACCAGATATTCAGTTCCACGGAACTGAAGAGGTGATCAGATCCAAGTCTCTTTGTGGCTACATAACAACTCAAGGCTAGTTCCTTCCTTGACACCTCCTCCCTGCCTGCCTAGCACATTTCCCAATGTGGATAATTGGAACAGAGGTTCAGAGCTGAACATCTGGGGTGTTAAGTCAAAACTAAACAAGGTCTAGGACAGTGATGGCTAACCTTTTTGCCATCACATGCCAGGAGAGGGGGGGCGGGGGAGGGTCGCATGCGCACGTGCCCACACGCATGCGTGCGCAACTCCCTCCCCCCCTGCTCCTGGCACATGATGGCCTGGTAGGCCCGTTTTTCTTTCTTACCTGGTTCCAGATCCTCTCTATGCATCTGGGAAGGGTGAAAACAGCCTTTCCCACTCCCTTGGAGGCCGTATGGAGGCTGAAAGGGCCCATTTCCCAACTCTCGGTGGGACAGGAAGTGACATTTTTTGCTGTTCCCAGCCTCCAGAACCTCTCTAGGAGTCTGTAGGAGCCTCTCTTGGAGTCTCTGGAGGCTGGGGACAGGAAAAAACATCACTTCCTGTCCCACCGGGAGGCGGGAAATGGGCCCTTTCAGCCTCCGTAGGGCCTCCAAGGGAGTGGGAAAGGCTGTTTTCACCCTTCCCAGATGCATAGAGAGGATCTGGAGCCAGGTAAGAAAGAAAAATGGCCCTTCCCCACCCCGCCCCCAGGCCCTCCAGAGGCAGGAAACAGCCTGTTTCCCTACTTCTGGTGGGCCCAGAAGGCCCGAAAATCACCTGGCCGGCACGCACATGCGCCCCAGAGCTGAGCTGGCATGCCCACTAATATGGCTCCGCGTGCCACCTGTGGCACGCGTGCCATAAGTTCGCCATCACAGGTCTAGGATAAAAGTCTGTAGAGATTCTCAGTCATCCAGGTCAGGGGTGAAATGCTACCAGTTAGAACCGGTTCGGCCGAATCGGTAATGATGGTGGCGGGTGGTTTGGAGAACCAGTAGCGATGGCAGCACAAGGCTCCGCCCACCTGCCCAGGTCATCATTTTTTACACTCTGCGCATATGCAGAAGGGTTTGCGCATGCACAGAGGGTCCACACGTAAATGTGACACATGCAGTGCATGCCCTTCCGAACCAGTAGGGAAGGTAAGTAGATTTCACCCCAGGTCATGATTCTCCCAAAGGTGCTTTTTTCAAGAGGCAACTGGACTCTCTTGGGTTTTTTTTTTTTTCTTTAAAGACTTTTCGCTTCTCATTCAAGAAGCTTCTTCAGCTCTGACTGGGTGGTGGGGAATGGAAGGATTTCTATTCCTTGCAGACAGCTGGTCCTTTGCATCCTTTTAAAGGGTCGTTGAGGCCACTTGGACTCTACCTGTGTCCTCAGGGTCACCTGAGTAATGCAAATGGTTCCTGTAGTCTTCAATTTTTCCTTTGGAAATCCATTCCTTCTCCCACACCATTCGAAGGCTGTTCATCCCAAATTCTATAGCTAAACGTCTGAAGAGATTCTCCATCATCCAGGTCATAATTATCCCAATAGTGCTTTTTCAGGAGGCAACTGGACTTCCTTCTTTGTTCTTCTTTTGAAAATGTTTCGCTTCTCATCCAAGAAGCTTCTTCAGCTCTGACTGGATGGTGGGGAATGGAAGGATTTCTATTCTTTGCAGACAAAAGCTGGTCATTGGCATCCTTTTAGAACATCTTCAAAGAAAACGTTCAAAAAAATCCAGTGGCCTCCTGAAAAAGCACCTTTGGGAATTTCTAGGATACTCACAGTTTTCTAGTTGAAGCTACGGTTAAATTTGTCCACGTGTTGTGAAATGAAAGAGTTTCCATCGTGTCTTCTGCCTGCTAGTTGGTGCTCATGGATGCGCTTAGCTAATCTTCTGTCTGTTTGTCCTACGTAGTGGCTGTTAGAGTCCTCACGCTGTGTGTTGTAAATGACTACATTTTCTTCTTCTGGGGCTGCTGAGTCTTTTATGATAGATAAGGGCTGGTTCGTCTCTCCATTACATGTGTTACTTTCTCCTTTGGGACTTCCATGGAGGGCTCAAGAGAGAAAAATATCCCTTCCCTCAGCAGGGGAGGGTCTGTGTGCAAAGAAAGGCATTGTGTTTTTGTGTATGTGTGTACACAAGGCTTCTCGGCTTTGGGAACAATAGTTCTCTTGAGAGGAAATCTCTTTCCACTGAAACCACAAGAACGCATCAAGAGTTTGCAGAAGTGCAAGTCTCCAGTGGCTTAATCACTTGGTGGTGCAACATTGCGTAACATCTGCATGACTATGACAACCAAGCATGTTCTCCTACTGTGTCCAGACCGCACAACACCACAATCTTAGCCCCCCTGTTTGCTCAATCTCCTCACTAACCAAATGCACCTGGGGCCAAGCCATAAAATACTGAGCCAAGGTCCACACCAACTGAGGTTAGCATGTTGTGTTATGGTAGCCTCTACGTTTACCACCAACATAAGAGAGGTTAAGCATGGTAGGGATTAACAGGGTTGGAAGGGACCTTGTAGGTCATCTAGTCCAACCCCCCCACCCAAGCAGGAGACCCTACACTATTTCTGATGAATGACAGTCCAGTCTCTTCTTGAAAGCCTCCAGTGATGAAGCTCCAACAACTTCTGAAGGCAATTGGTTGATTGTTCTCATTGTCAGAAAATGTCTCCTTATTTCCAGGTTGAATCTCTCCTTGGTCAGTTTCCGTCCATTATTCCTTGTCTGGCCTTCGGGTGGATTGGAGAATAGGTTGACCCCCTTCCTCCTCTCTGGGGCAGCCCCTCAAGTATTGGAAGATGCTTCCATGTCTCCCCTGGTCCTTCTCTTCACTAGACTAGCCAGGCCCAGATCCTGCAACCGTTGATCGTATCTTTTAGCCTCCAGTCCCCTCATCATCCTGGTTGCTCTTCTCTGCACTCTTTCTAGAGTCACCACATCTTTTTTTACAGTGTGGTGACCAACACTGGATGCAGGATTCTAGGTGGGGTTTTCCTAAGGCTTTATAGAGTGGTATTAGTACCTCCCTTGATCTTGATTGAATCCCTCTGTTAATGCAATTTAGGATTGCATTGGCTTTTTTGGTTGCCAACATACACTGCTGGCTGTGAATGTAGCCATGTGAATGTGCATGAATGCAGCCACAAGTCCTCATTTCACACACACACACACACACACACACACACACACACACACCATTGTGTGTGTGGTCATCCCGATGCAACAACATGCACCCTTTTGCCAAAGAAGTTGTGATGTTTTGTCCCAGCATCTCTACAAGATGCAACTCGTCCAGCAACATCTGCAGGGCACATTCCAGAATTCACAGGTCGATGAGTTATTTATGGGTTCCTTGTAGGGAAACAGCCAGATGAAACCAACTTTTCTCTCTTGACGTTTCTTGCACTTTCCTCCTTCCCTGCAGATTTTTTTTTGCTGGAGGGGACTATTTGGGAGCTCCTCTCCCCACTTTCTGAAAATCAGTGGTCCCATTTCCAATGTATCATCTGAAACACGCCTGTATTGGGTGCGGTTGACTTCGATCCTTCAACGGATAGAAGGGGCTGTCACCGACTGGAGGGGGTTAACCTGTTTTCCAAAGTACCTGAAGGCCAGACAAGGAATAATGGATGGAAACTGATCAAGATCAGTTTCAATTGACCAGAACTGATCAATACCACTCTATAAAGCCTTGGTATGGCCACACCTAGAATTCTGCATCCAGTTTTGGTCGCCATGATGTAAAAAAGATGTTGAGACTCTAGAAAAAGTGCAGAGAAGAGCAACCAAGATGATGAGGGGACTGGAGACTGAAACATATGAATAACAGTTGCAGGAACTGGGCATGGCTAGTCTAGTGAAGAGAAGAACCAGGGGAGACAGGAGAGCAGTCCAATATTTGAGTGGCTGCCACAGAGAGGAAGGAGGTCAAGCTATTTTCTGAAGGCCAGACAAGGAATAATGGATGGAAACAGATCAAGGAGAGATTCAACCTGGAAATAAAGAGAAATTTCCTGACAGTGAGAACAACCAACCCATGGAACAGAAGTTGCCTTCAGAAGTTGTGGGGGCTTCATCACTGGAGGCTTTCAAGAAGAGACTGGACTGCTATCTGTTAGAAATGGTGTAGGATCTCCTGCTTGGGCGGGGGGTTGGACTAAATGACCTACAAGGTCCCTTCCAACTCTGTTAATCTGTTAAAGGCTAGGACCTCTGGATGAATCCATTCTCTCCCGATGGAACCAGCTCCAAAAATCTAGTCGGCCTTTTCCAGCTGAGTATCATTTGGCAAATTCTAGAGATGTTTGAAAGTTTGAAAGTTTATTAGATTTCTATACCACCCTTCTCCCTCAGGACTCAGGGCAGTGTACAGCCATATTAAAAACACATAGATTTATAAAATTTAAAACCAATTAAAATCGAATATATAAAATTGGCCCTCAATTTAAAAACACACACATACACCCGTTTAATGTTACTTGACCTCTTCCTGCTCCTGTCCAAAGTAGGAGGTGACTGGAAGCAAGTTGAGATGAGAGGCTCCTGAAGGACTAGGGAGTTGGGTGGGGAGGATTTACAGAAGGAAGTTCCAGGTGTTATGACGTGGTCAACCTGGGTCACCACCAGTCATTTAACAGAATAATAGAGTTGGAAGGGACCTTGGAGGTCTTCTAGTCCAACCCTCTGCTCAGACAGGAGACTCTCCGCCATTTCAGACAACTGATGTCCAATCTCTTCTTGAAAACCTCAAGTGATGGAGCATCCAGAACTTCTGGAGGCAACTTCTGTTCCACTGGTGAATTATCCTCACTGTTAGGAAGCTTCTCCTTAATTCCAGGTTGCTTCTCTCCTTGGTTAGTTTCCATCCGTTGCTTCTTCTCCTGCCTTCAGGTGCTTTGGAGAATAGGTTGACTCCCCTCTTCTTTGTGGCAGCCCCTCAAATACTGGAAGGCTGCTAACATATCACCCCTGGTCCTTCTTTTCATTGGACTACTAGACATACCCAATTCCTGCAACCATACTTCGTATGCTTTAGCCTCCAGGCCGCTAAGAAACAGTTCTTGAGTACTGGTGTTTATTTCCGCGTGTTTGTATGTGTCTTTCATTCTCCAATCACATGGAGTCTCCATGGGAGAATGCTCCGTTCTGAAAGAAAAATAGCACCAAAATCATCTTGTGAGCCAAGATGTACTTGCACAATGTATTGTGTGCAACACTAATCCCAACGTGTCCAAAGAGTGACAAGGAACTCAGGTTTCCTTGGAGAAACTCTGTGAACTTTTGCAAGGGGTTTTCCAGGAATGTGTCAATCACAAAACCATTCTGGAATTGGCCGTTGGGCAGCCAGAAGACACTCAGGTCTTGGGTCATCAAACAGTGACAACCTCTTTGTGACTTGAGGGAGGTTAATGCAATCGTGATTGAAGAAATACTACAGTAGTAGGGCAGGGTGACATGATTAGAATGGAATGGTGGACACCCACAACCGCCCTTAAGGGTTTGAAGTCGTTTTTGAAGTTGTCACCAGATTCTCCGTCCTCCAGGGTCTGGTTGTCCCAAAGGCGCTTTCTCTGGAGGCAACTGGGTTTTTCTTTTGAAGACGTTTCGCTTCTCGTCCGAGAAGCTTCTTCAACTCTGACAGGATACCTGAAGACACAGATAAACCTCCAAGTGCTTCAAAGCAGGGGTGAAATCTAAAATTTGTTACTACCGGTTCTGTGGGCGTGGCTTGGTGAGGAGGGGGGGTAATGTGACTGGGTGGGCGTGGCCAAGTTTTTTTGTTTTTGTTTTTTACTTTTAAAGGCATTTTTTTCCCCTATAAACTCTTTGGCTGAGAGGTGGCAGAAAAAAAAAGCTTTTAGAAGCTTCTGACGATCGGGCAAGTCAGCTGGGATCGCCAGAGGCTTTTAAAGGCATTTTTTTTTTCCTACAGCCTCTTCGGCCGAAGGGGTTGCAGAAAAAAATGCTTTGAAAAGCCTCTGACGATCCCAGCTGAGCCGCACGATCATCAGAGGCTGTTTTTTTTTTTACTTTTAAAAGCGTTTTTTTTTTTTTTGGCCGAAGCGGTTGTAGAAAAAATGCTTTTAAAAGTAAAAAAAAAAACAGCCTCTGATGATTGTGCGGCTCAGCTGGGCATGGGGGGGGGGCAGGGATTTTTGCTACCGGTTCTCCGAACCACCCGCCTCCATCGCTATCAAATCGGGCGATCCGGTCCAAACCGGGAGCATTTCACCCCTGCTTCAAAGGACCCCTAAAACAGAGGTGTCAAGCGACGGGTAGGCATCACATACTGTAACAACCAGTTCGCCCACCACCAGAAATGTGAGCGCGGGCGCATGCGTGCAGCATCAAAAACCACAGAGATTCGCTCACGCATGGCCTCCGCGCATGCATGCGGAGTCAAAAACCACAGCGATATAGGATGGGATTGCGCCCGGGTGTGTGGGCAAGGATGGGTACACCGACAGGTCCAACTACCAGTTCTCCCGAACCGGTTGGAACCCAGCAGCAGTCCACCATTGTGTCAAACTTAATTTCATTGAGGGCTGCATCAGGGTTGTGTTTGACCTCAGGATGGGAGGGTGGGTGGGTGGGTGTCGCCAGCTCGATGTCACTCATCAAGGCTCCATTCTCGGCCACAACGGCCTCCCGCAGCCCTCTGCCAGTGAAAAGGGAGCTCAGGGAGGCCGCTCGTGGGTGCGATGTGAACCAGTAGTAAAGGTAAGTAGTTACTCCTGGTTGTAACTTTGAACGGTCACTAAACGAACTCGATAGGTAATCTTCAACTTACGAGTGTAATCAGTTACAATGTCCGTCGTAAGTCAGAGGCAGAACGGACGGAAAAAGTGTGAGAAATGATGCCAAAACGAGGTTGAGGGAGGTCAGTCCCTTGGATGGAACCAGGCAGAGAAGGCAGAAGATTTGACTTCGTCCATCTTGGAAGCCTTTCGGAGCCTGAAACTCTCCTCCTTGTAGGGCTGAACTACAACGCCCATCATCCCCAGCCAGGATAGTCCTCAGATAAGGTGGCTGTGGCAACCGTATCCTCCTCTCCTTTTGTTTGCTGTGGGATTTTAATGTGTTTTCCCAGCAGGGCAGCTCCCTGGCAACATGGCCACGCCTGGCGGTTTACGGGTTTCCCCAGTGGCCGTAAGCAGCCAGGGAGTGGGCCAGAGGGCAGGGGAGGGCAGGGGGGCCACGGAGGGGCAAAGAGGCATTTCTGAGGGGAGGGGTCACCTGTATAATCCTCCCCCCTGCCTTAGGGCTGCCAGGGCTAGTTCTGCCTTTTAAGAATTCCTGGCGCTTGGAAAGTGGGTTGGTCGAGGAGAAATGTAGCCCAACTTTCTGTTTTCTGCAGTGAAAAACTCAGCTGCACGACTCCTGTCCAGAAGCTTTCCCTTTGCAGCTAGGATTGGGGGTTTATTGGAGGGAGGGAGGGAGGAAATGAGAGGAGGGAGGGAGGAGGAAGGAGATGGGAAGGAGGGAAGGAAGAAGGAGGGAGGGAGGGAGGGAGGGAGGGAGAGAAGGAATGAAATGAGAGAAGGGAGGGAGAGAGGAAGGAGGAAGGAGATGGAAAGGAGGAAAGAAAGGAAAAAGAAGGGAGGGAGGAAGGAAGAAAGGAAAGAGAAGGGAGGAAAGGAGGGGAGGGAGGGAGGAAGGAAGGTGATGGAAATGAGAGACGGGAGGGAGGGAGGAAGGAGATGGGAAGGAGGGAAGAAAGGAAAGGAGGAAGGAAGGAGATGGGAAGGAGAGAAGGAAAGAAGGGAGGGAGGAGGGAGGGAGGAGGAAGGAGGATGGGAAGGAGGGGGGGAAGGAAGGAAATGGGAAGGAGGGAAGGAAAGAAGGAGGGAGGGGAGGGAGGAGGAAGGAAGGAAGGAAGGAGATGGGAATGACCTTTTTATGATATGACTTTTCTTCTCACATTCACTTGTCACAAGTGAATCCCTGCAGTTCTTCAGTTAGTAACCTGGTTGTTAAGTGAATCTGGCTTCCCCGTGGACTTTGTCAGAAGGTCGCAAAAGGGGATCCCGTGACCCTGGGACACTGCCACCATCCTAAATGCGAACCTATTGTCAAGCATCCGGATGTAAATCCCCTGGCCACAAGGAATTTTGCAACGGCCGTAAGTGTGAAAAACGGTCGTCAGTCCCATTTTTCAGTGCCGTTGTAATAACTTCGAACGGTCACACTCAGTTGAACCATCGTAAGTGGAGGACCCCCCGTATTTAATGAGTGGCATAAACGTGGCAACCGAGGCCAGGGCTTGGAAGGGTGGAGGGAGTAACAGTCGTTGTGATCGAGACGTTTCCTTGCAAGGAACGAACACAAAACTTGTAGGCCAGACCGGAGGGCTTGAGATGGTGTAAGAGAGAAAACGCCTCTGTTAATGTCGAGAGGGAAAACACGGGCAGAGGTTGGGTGAACATCTGGCCAGGGGTGCATTGAGGACAACTTGACATGTTCTTGCCTTCCGGCCATAGTAAGTGGGTGGTGTTTGTACAGCTCCTCTGACACAACTGTTCAAGGAAAAAGTTGTGTATCTTTACGAAGAGACTAAAGGTAAAGATAAAGGTTCCCCTCGCACATATGTGCTAGTCATTCCTGACTCTAGGGGGCAGTGCTCATCTCCGTTTCAAAGCCGAAGAGCCAGCGCTGTCCGAAGACGTCTCCGTGGTCATGTGGCCGGCATGAATCAACACCAAAGGTGCACGGAATGCTCTTACCTTCCCACTAAAGGTGGTCCCTATTTTTTCTACTTGCATTTTTTTACCTGCTTTCAAACGGCTAGGTTGGCAGAAGTAAGTTGGACAAGGAGCCTGGTGGCGCAGCAGACTAATAGCCTGTTATTAACATTCAGCTGCCTGCAATTACTGCTGGTTCGAATCTCTCCAAGGCTCAAGGTTGACTCAGCCTTCCATCCTTTCTAAGGTGGGTGAAATGAGGACCCAGTTTGTGGGGGCAATAAGCTGACTTTGTATAAATATACAAAAGGATGAAGGCTATTGCTTAGCGCCTTGTAAGCCGCCCTGAGTCTCCGGAGAAGGGCGACATATAAATCAAATTAAAAAAAAAAAAAAAGTCATGGGAGCTCACTAGGGATTCGAACCACTGAACTGCTGACCTTTCAATCAACAAGCTCAGCATCTTAGCCCCTGAGCCACCGCATCCCTAAGAAGAGACTACACAGTCACTTATCTGAAATGTATAGGTTCTCCTGCTTGGGCAGGTGGCTGGACTAGAAGACCTCCAAGATCCCATCCATCTCATTTTATTCTAATTCTTTGCACAGGCATTTCCCATTTCACTGCAACCGCAGAAAATCACTTAGAATCAGAGAATCCTAGGGCTGGAAGGGACTTTGGAGGTCTTCTAGTCCAACCCCCTGCTCAAGTAGGAGACTCTATCCCATCCCAGACAGATGGTTGTCCAAACTTTTCTTGAGAACTTCCAGTGATGGAGCACCCACAACTCTCAGAGGCCAGGTGTTCCACTGATTAATTAACATAATAACAGAGATGGAAGGGACCTTGGAGGTCTTCTAGTCCAACCCTCTGCTCAAGCAGGAGAACCTATATATACCATTTTGGAAAGATGGTTGTCCAATCTCTTCTTGAAAGCCTCCAGTGTTGGAGCATCCACAACATCTGGAGGCAAGGCGTTCCACTGATTAATTAACAGAATCACGGAGTCGGAAGGGACCTTGGAGGTCTTCTAGTCCAACCCCCTGCTCAAGTAGGAAACCCTCTACCATTTCAAAGAGACAAATGGTTATTCAACCTCTTCTTTAAAACTTCCAGTGATGGAGCACCCACAAGATCTGGAGGGAAGCCGTTCCTCTGATTAATTGTTTTCACTTTCATAAAACTTCTCCTTAGTTCTAAGTTGGGTCTCTCTTTAACCGTTCTACCTTCTGCTTCTAATTAAGGGCATCGTCAGTTTAGCCCTCCAAAACTACAAGGAGGTCATTTAACAGATTAACAGAGTTAGAAGGGACCTTGTAGGTCATCTAGTCCAACCCCACCCCCACCCCCGCACAAGCAGGAGACTCTACACCATTTCTGACAAATGGCAGTCCAGTCGTGTATTTGCCTGTTGCAAATACTTAATTTTATTATGTTACATTTTTCTTTTTATCTACAAAAAGCATCTTGACACATGGAAGCACCCAACCCTCACCTCCCTGTCCCAAGACACAAAACTCTTCCATAGAGCTGAGCCCAGGGGCTATCCTGTCCCAACATCAACAGGCGTAGAGAGATAAAGAACGTCTACATACCATTCAAAAGAGATGATCCAAAAGCCAAAAAGGGATTTAAAAAAAAAAAAAGACCAAAAACACCTGCTTGCCTGCAGCTTCCAGGTGCTGCATCCCTTGCCGCATCCCACTACCTTCCAGCATTGATGATGTTACCTAGTGGGGTCATGAAATGTCTGTGTCTGCAAGAAAATAAGAAAGATCAGAGAGCACCAAGGACCCCACAAATCTGAAAGCATACCTTATCTATTTATTTATTATCTCTCTCTCTCATATATCTGTCTGTCTGTCTGTATCTCTCTCTCTCTATCTATCTATCTATCTCTATCTATCTATCTATCTATCTATCTAATCTATCTACTGTCTCTCTCTCTTTGTCTATCTCTCTCTCTTTGTCTGTTTCTCTCTCTCATCTATCTACCATCTTTAATCTGTCTAATCACCTACCTTCTGTCTATCATATCTATCTATCTATCTATCTATCTATCTATCTATCTATCTAAATCTATCATCTATGTACCTACTCTCTCTCTCTCTATTGATCATCTGTCCAATCACCTACCTTCTGTCTATCATCTCTATCATCTTTATCTATCAAACCTGTCTATCTATGTATCTATGTATCTATCTATCTATCTATCTATCTATCTATCTATCTAATCTATCTACTATCTCTCTCTTTGTCTATCTCTCTCTCTCATCTATCTACCATCTTTAATCTGTCAAATCACCTACACTCTACTATATCTCTCTCTCTCTATCTCTCTATCTCTCTCTCTCTCTATCTATCTATCTACCTATCTACCTACCTATTCTCTCTATCTATCTATCATCTGTCCAATCACCTGTCTATCATCTCTATCTATCAAACCTCTCTCTGTCTCTGTTTCTGAGAGAGATGGAGAGAAACCATTAGCAATTAGTGTAGCCATTATTATAGCTGGTGAGCTCCATTTTTGCATGCTCGGTTGATTTTGGATAAAGCTAAGCAAGAGTGAACCTCCCTGGGACTTGGGTTGGGAGATAACCCGGATCTCCCAGGCTTGTTGTCTGCGTAAAGCTATCCAGGAAGAAGGAAGAAAAGTGTGTTGTAACACTGCCAAGAATCCATGGAAGGCTTCCAGGGGAGTCAAGTTGAACAGGTTCATCTGAATGACTTTTATATGGTTTCACGTCCTGGAATATATATTTACTGGATTGCACAATGCACCGTGAGAGTTCCTTTTACAGGCTGGTATAAAAGTATAGCAAACACATGACTTGGTTTTTGTTTCTTTTTGTTTTTAAATCTCCTGACATTCTTAAAACACAAAGCTGTTGTTGGTGAATTAAATGGATTTTTTTTTTTTTGCAAAGTTACCCAGTATAGAGGTCCCGAGAGGCAACAACGAAGAGCAAGGGGGCTGAGGAAATTACCCACAGGGAAGGGAACGGTTAAAAAAGTCAAGATGACAACCACAGATGTCACCCCTACGAAAGGGTGAAGGCTGTGATAATGAGGTTACTGCTACAATCTTAACTCTGGTGTAGAATTAATCTGTCAATTGCTCTGCATAAATGTGCAGTTTTTCTCAACCTGCAGCACTTAAAAGTCCTTGGGACTTCAACTCCCAAAATTCCCTATTCAGCCATGCTGGCTGGGGAATTCTGGGAGCTGAAGTCCACAGATGCTGGCTGAGGAATTCTGG